ATTAGCTACAAGGGTGAATGTACTAGTAAAATCCATACCATAGGTTTGAATAAACCCCTTTTCCACATGTCGAATTTGCAAGTCTTTCGATGGAACAATCTGGTAAATGCTTTACTGTATATACCTATCTACACCAAACTAGGTTTTTTTTTACCAAGAGGAAGAGGTACAAACTCTCAAGTATCATTTAAATATAGGGTTGAAATTTTCTCTTCCATATCTGTCCATCTAGAATTAGTCATGGCCCACTATATGGGTTTAGGAATAGATATGGCAGATAAAGCTAAAATTAAGGAATGGACAAAAAGAAATAAAGAGGTGTAAGAAATAAAATTACCAATATGGTGAGTGGTACAAGAATGCTTACCCTAGAGCGATGGGGGTTAAGATCAGAGGTGGCCCCAGAACCATCAGATGTCTCAGTAGATGATTATCAAATCTGAGCTAGAGATTGTTGAGTGTATATCTGCATAATGGGTGGTTTTGRAGGTAGTCTAGGAGATGGAGACTCATTAAAGATAGGAATAGGACGGGTGTGCTAGAGTGAGATCCTGGTCTGAAGTCTGTAAGCTGAAGAAGAAAGGTGGTTTAGGTATCAAACCTTTTTCTCAAACAAACACAGCCTTGCTATCCAAGTGGGTTTGGAGATTTGCTACAGAAAGGGATCATCTCTGGAAAATAGTTGTCAAGGACAAACACGGGGAAGACTCATTTGGATGGGAATCTGGAAGTTCTAGTGACCCCTATGGGACTAGTGTTTGGAGAAGTATCATGCAGAATAGAGATGCTTTCTTCAAACACATATCCTTTGAACCTGGGTCAGGTGAAAGGATTTGGTTCTGGAAGGACAGTTGGTGTAGCAGCAACCCCTTAATTTGGAATTCCCCTCTACTTTTGAGTTGGCAGTCAACAAAGGTGCAAGGGTGTGTGACTACCTTGGATACTCCAATGACCATCCAATCTGGGTACCAAGACTTAGAAGGGAAGTGAATGATTGGGAGTTAGAATCCTCAATAGGCCTGCTGAATGTACTGGATAAATCCAAGGCAAATCCTTTGGATCCAGACAAAATAAGATGGAATAAAGAAAATTCAGGGATTTTCACTGTGAAGTCAATGTTGGAATCCTTTACTGTCAACTGAAGAACCTAATCCTCCTTGGATCTGGCTGTGGAAAACTTCAACTCCGCAAAAAGTGCAGTTTTTTTTTTTTGTGTGGGTTGCTATAAAAGAAAAAATTCCCACCATGGATGTTTTAAGAAGACATTCATCAAGAAAAAAAAATGGATGTTCTAAGAAGAAAGGGAATGGTTTTGGTGAACTGTTGCTGTTTGTGTGAGGCAGTTGAGGAAACAGTTAACCACCTGTTAATTCTTTGCAGTTTCTCTCACAGAATTTTGACCCATGTACTAAAGTTGTTTGGTCTGAATTGGGTTACACCTCTAGACCTGAATTCTCTTATGTCTCATTGGCAAATTCAGGCTTTTTCGGAAAAAGGRAAAGTGTTATTGGAAAGCATTGCTGTCGGTAGTATGTTGGTGCTTATGAAAAGAAAGAAACCACTGCATTTTTGAAGACACGGCAAATTCTCCTGAGAAAGTATGCACAATGGTGGAGAAAACTTTGGTGAAATGGGTCTCCATCAACAGCCTCTTCAAGGGATGTTATTTTAAGATTTTCGTAGAACACTGGAATTCGGTAATATGGGATGAAAACTTTGTTTTGTAAGCTGTAGCCTTATGGCTATTCTCTGTACTGTTGTCTGAGGAAATCTCTCCCTCAGCAGCAGATCTCTATCTTTATATTATTAATATATTTCACCATTTCTCAAAAAAAAAAAAAATGAGTGAGATCCTGGGGCAGATGATGAAAAGTAAGTGGTAGACTCAAAAAGGTAACATTTGCAAAGGTATGATGTTGATGAGTAATAGGATTATAATGCTTGTATCCTTTTTGAATTTGAGAGTAACCAAGAAAAACACATTTAACAGCACTAGGATCAAGTTTAACTAGTTTGAAATCAAATAAATGGGCAAAACAAACACACCCAAATGCACACGGAGTGGGAAAAAAAGAGGACTATCATGGAGAACCGAACAAGGAATTTTATCATTAAGAACTAAAGAGGGCATCTGGTTTATCAAAAGGCAAGCCATGATGACAGATGTAAAGAAAAAAGAAAAGCTAAAATCATATTTCTGTATTGGGTGGCAAACATGTAGTGGAAGAAATAACATTAAGGTGGCGTTTGATATATCTCAAATCTGAAAAGTTAAAAAGATATTACAAGTGTCTGAAATCTGAAAAGAGCTATGATGCTTTTCTACATTTTAGATGTTCTGAATAGGTAAGGTTGTTTGTGTTGGATGAACCATTCAGCATCTGAAATTCAATGCTTTTACTATTTTACCCCCAAAACAGACTATCTGATAATTTTGAGTTCAATTTTGTACTATTTCATATTAAATAATTTATGAAATTCAAAATAATACAAATAAAAAATAATAAACTAATAAATAATAAATAACACATTTAAAATTATTAAAAATAATTGATGACTAATAAAAACTATTAAGGTAATTAATACTAATGAAAATTAAAATAATTAATAATTAAAAAATAACACAATTAAAATTAAAAAAAAATAATTAATGACAAAAAATAGTTATTAAGTAATAAAAATAATTAATAATTAATAATTTACACAAATAAAACTTAAAATAATTACTAATTATAAAATAACACAATTAAGGTTAATAAAGATAACAAATGAATAATAAAAAATAATTAATTGGTTTTGGCCTTTTGGGCACTATTCATCATTGTTCTTGTTGCGAAGGCCGAACAGGGGTTGCGGTATTCCTATTCCTTCCTCCTCTCTTTGGTTATTTTCCCTCTAAACTCTCTTTCTCTCTCTCTCTCTGGTTCTTCCTCCAAACGCCCAGATCTGTTGTTCGTCTTCTTCCTCTTATCACCGAACAGAGAATGGYGGGGAACTGCGGCGGTAGTTCTAGTCAGTTTACTTCTATCGGCCGATCCCAACAACACCAGTTTACTCTTCCCGGAATCGCACCTGCAAGGGAGGACGTTCTAAGCTGAGGCGGATCGGTTTTGGGCATTGTTGATCATCGTTCTCGTTGCGAAGGCCAAATAGGGGTGGCGGTTCTCCCGCTGTCCTCTCTTCGGTTATTCTCCCTCTAAACTCTCTTTATTTCCCCTCTCTCCCCTTCTTCTTCTTCTTCTTCTTCTTCTTCTTCCAAACGCCCAGATTTGTTGTTCGTCTTCTTCCTCTTATCACTGAACAGATGGTTGCGGTGGTAGCTCCAGTCAGTTTGCTTCTATCGGCCGATCCCAGCAACACCAGTTTGCTCTTCCCGCAATCGCACCTGCAAGGGAGGACGTTTGAAGTTGAGACCTATTTTTGTCTTTTAATGCGGTCTGAAATGCATCTGACCGCGTTAAGAGGCTGGCCGACCTCTTTCTCAAATGTTAAAGAAGTTAGGAACTGCAGAAAGTAGAAGAGGAAGAGAGGGGGATTTAAATATTAACTCAAAGAGAAAGAAACTTTTGGTTGCTGATGATCTGGTTTGAGTTCATTCACTGCCAATGTATGAAGGGGGAGAGATAACGGAGAAGGGTGTTAATTGTTTGATATACAAGGTCTAACAGAAAGAATATTGTAATATGTTTAGGCACTTATGTCCAAAATTTTCATTAAAAACCTCCAGTCAAATTCAGAGGCATCCATTTCGCAGAATCAGTCGGAGGAAATATTGGTGATTGGGGGAGGGGGTAGCATTGGGAGGCTTTGCCGAACAGCCCTTAACTGCTGGAATTTAACCTTTTCAGCTTCAGAGGGCCATTTGGTGTTACTGAATGACTCCTTATTTGGATTGGATTGTTAGTGTTCTAGTATATTTTGCCCTCCCTGGTGATTTGTTATCACTATTTGTTGTATTCTCTTTTTATTTTAATGAAAAAATTTCTTTATTATCAAAAAAAATCTTTTGCTAGATAACTTCTGAATGTTGTTTGAAAACTTTTCTCTCCTTTCTTTGTCCATGATAAATACAATTTGTTCTGCTGACTTGTGGCAACTAAATATGTTAAGGTGCCATTATTTTGTGTTTCTTAAATAAAATTTTCTGTTTTACTCAGATATAGGAAGCGGAATGTGCTAGTATGCATTGCACCACCAAYGGTAGTCATTATAGTACTGGTGTTAGATTCATCTACCCTCCAATTTGCACCATATGACGAATTCTCTACTACTTMGATGGGATGATGTGCTCCAGATCTGTTTATCCTCAATGCCTCAATATGTAAACTTTTCCATGCATATGGACTTTGGGCAAATATTGAAAAAAAAAGTCTACTGTTTTTAAAGACCAAAGTACATAAACAAATTAGCAAATGCTGATTAGGTTGAAGTTTAATTTCAGTGTTGTAGGACTTGGACTGGACTGGATGGTTGAACAGTGACCTGTTGGTGACCAGTGACCTCTCTGGATCCTGGTTAACTATGGTTTGAATGGGCCAACCACCCTGTTAACCAGTAAAACCGTGACCCACTGAGCATTCCAGTTTTATGTCCTGTTGGTTAATTTCCTTTGGTTCCATGGTACCATCTTCTAGCTATTGATCAGCTGGCTCTCTGTATTGCTTGTTTTCATGCTGTGAGCATGTCTTGGGATTTTGCAGTTTCAATATGTTCTCTTTATGCTCCCTGTTGTTTTGTGTATAAAAAGATAATGGTATTTTATTTCATAGAATTTTAATGAGGATTGTGTGATTCATATGAGCCTCATTCTGGGTCTAGTCTAGCCTATATGATAATGTTAAAAAGCCTGCAAGACATTTGCATGCAAGCATGTAGCTGGAGAGCTCAGAAGACCCATCTTTAAAGCCTATGGRTGGTCATAACTATTCTTTGCTGGCTGAGATTTTTCTTAAGTTTTAGCTAAATCATATAGCTCTAAATGCTGAACTTTTATCTTGTAGGCTACTCCCTATTTCTTGGATTTGTAATTGATCGCTTACATCACTATCTTCAAAAGCTCGGAGGGTTGAGGACCACAGCTCGGTATTCCAAACAGGAAGTTGAGAAGCTTCATAAAGACCACCTGCAGCTCAAAGAGAAAGAAGTGAAAGCTTCCGAGGAAATAAAGTTGCTTCAGGAGGAAATCTCTAGTCTGAAAGAAAATATAAAGAAGCTAAAATTAGAATGTGAAGAGAAGGATAAACAAGTACAATCTGCAGAAGCTCATGTCACTGCACTTCAGAAACAAGCTGAGGACCTACTTCTTGAATATGACCGCCTATTGGAGGACAATCAGAACCTTCAAGCCCAGGCTCTAGGATATAGAGGTTGAGACACTGTTGGAGGTTCAACCACTTWAGAATGGGGTTCAAGTTTGGGTGCTGATAGTTTAGATAAAATTTCTCCCTGTTCACGTTGAAATTTATACAGAAAGCATTTACGGGGGCTATTTWGGAGGTTACAGGGTGATTCCTTCTGCAAAAGGTCATTGAAAAATTTTGTAATCTTTGTTGAGTCTAGGAAGCTTTTCTTGCTTTTGTTTTTCTTCTTTTCACCCCCCTCCCCTCACTCTTTTTGAAATTGAGCTGATTTTGGGCCAGAGAATAGAAAATCCAATGAGACTTGTAAGAAACCATAATCCTTTTCTCCAGGTAGATGAAACATGGTGGGCCTGTCTAGATGTACTATTTAAAGGYGAGGAATGAATGTATGTGGACGTTTGTGGCCTGCCTCTTCATGTGGTGTTTTATTAGTTCAAATGAAATAGTGAGATGGCCAATTTCATTACCTTGTTTGTTCATTCCGTGAAAATCTGAGCCCTATGTTCAGGCTTGTTTGCGTTTGTTGATTAGTTGAGGAAGGCCTATTATTCTGTTCTCATGTTTGTTAATTAAAGYTTCCAGTTTAGAATCTCAAATGGGTCATCCGCAGATCTGCTTMTTCATAATTTCAAATGGGTTAGGCTCTGAGCCTCTGATACCACTTTTTGGAAAAATCTGTCCACTCAACCTTGCAAAGAATTTCAACAATAAGAGTATCTTTCCACTAGTCATTCTCTTGGTGAAGATATGCTTCTCCCTTTTCCTCACAAATTCATACCCACTTTCAGTAATGGCTGTGTTTTGTTTGAAAGAAAAGGTAAACCTACTCTTTCAAACCAAACACAGCCTAAAAGTTCATTGCCACTGGTTTAAGCCAAAATTTAAAAACAAATTTGGAAGAAAGTGAAAATCGAAATCATTCTCAAGCCCTTCAAAGTTCAAACAATATGAGTAGAGCAATCAGTTGTCCGTTCTCCATGCTAGATGAAAGACAATTAAGAATTAACCCAGTAAGTATGCCAAGTGGTTGCCCTGCTTCAGTCTGTTCAGCACACTATAACGACGATAGAAACACTCGTATATAAACCGAACATCAGTTACAATTCTGCTCGTCGTTGGAAATCTCACTAGTCACTACCAGAACTATTTAACTCGGGAATTGCAGAGTTTGCCTTGTACTTCCTAGACATGTCTAGAGGAAGAGAGCGTTATACGCACTCTTTAGTCTTTAATTTGGAAAATAGCTCAACAGTGGAAGTAAAAGTTTGAAGTATTGTTATTACTAAAGAATATTCGAAATTGCTACAATGATCAAGATATGCATGGATACATCAAAGAAATTCATTAATCCCAGGTCAATTAATTGGGTTAAATGGTAAACCCGGCTTGACCAGACCCTATAAAGTTGGGTTAGGTTTAAGTTTATTCAAATGCAGGATTAGGTTAGGGATTTAATTTTTTTAACCCAAGGGTTTGAGTTGGGCTAGGTTTGGCTGACCCGACCCATTGGATCATTATAGGCTTACATATATATGGGCATTCTTRTAATTTTCTATGGCTTCTATTCTATAGCCTTAAAAGTCTAGGATTTATTTTCATGCTTTATTCTTTCACTATGAAATGACACCTTAGAGCCCATAAACCACATTCAAACTTAAATTAAAGGATTTTAAATTTTCAAAATGTGTTATAAAAAGTACAATTGAAAGGCTGTGGATTAAGTCAAGTTGGTATCAGGTTGA